GACCGAGTAGAGATAGTTGTTTTAGACTGGCTGACAAAAACATATTCTCTAAACTATTAAATGTACTTATATTCTTAATCCTGATATAACTATTATGATCTGTATATATTAATTATCGTTTTGATTTATTAAAAGGTGAGATTCTAAGATGGGTCAATATGCCTGGTAGATTGGATGATAATAATATATATTGCTGAAATAATAAGTTAGTTGATGGAATTCATGTCTCGTTATAGAGATTGATTGATATGCCTTTTTGAGAAACTTATAAGTTTTCATTGTGTCAAACCTTGCAAGTGGATTTATGAATCCAACACATGAAATAAGTTAAGTAGTGCTCTAAAGGAAATTAATCATTAAGTTAAATTCGTCAGTAATTTAATTTATTGATTAGTATTTGTAATCTTAACATTGGGAATTACATAAGTGTTTAATGGAGAATTTCGAGAATAGATTCTATGAGTCGTGATCCAATTAAGATAGGGGGCATTTCTAGCATTGAAAATCCCTATATATTCTTATTGAATAGTTCAAATAACTAGTTGAACTAGCTCGTCATGACTCGATCATGACCTTAGGCGGAATTGGTCTTGGCCGGAAGAACGAAAGATACCGGCAAGCACAGAGCAGCCGTCAAAAGGGGTTCCGTAGAGTGGTCTAACCCCAGGGTAATCCTTGGAGCTTTCTCCATGCCCGACAAAGAGAACTTGGTGTGAATCGGGGTAGCTAGCTACCAGCTCGTCTAACTAATGTACTGATGTAATTCCATGCAAATATGGCTACCCGGCGAACATGAGGTCCCACTCACTATTCATGGCCAGACAAAAAGGGACCACTAGCCTAGAGAATCAAATAGGGAATAGGCCCTGAGTTCACCCGCTTGCCCGAAGATGAAGGGGAAGAAAGGGATGCCAGGGACAGAGTAACCGGAGGGGGCATGAAATGAACCCGGAAGGGAAGCCACAGGAGCAGGAGTGGAGAGAAAGCGAAAGAGGAAAGGTGTTTTCCCATTCGATTGATCGATTCAGAGTCCCGAACCGAAGCCCAAGCCCATACTCTGACTAAGAAAAGTGGAAGTTCCTACCCTGGGAACATTGACATACGGGGAGAGTTCGGATGTAAACTTGGGATCACTGTAGAAGACCATAGTTGATGTAGATTTGCTTGAAGGTATGTCTAACTCGTGGATTCGCTTGAAGGTATCTGCTCACGCTTCAAGAGGTAATTCTTGAATTAAATTTCAATAAGTTTATGTGTTGTAACATATTATATGTGTTTTAACATAAACAATTTGATTATATATTATTCATGTAAGCAGTAAGATTATGATATGCTTTCGGTGTGAATATAATTTTTCCAATAATTGACATCAAGAGCCAAGCTTTCATCTAAATAGATAACTCATATGATATGTATAAGGTTAAATTATACATATGCTTCGTTGAAAAATCATGTGAAAAGTTGATTTTTGTTGACGTATGTTTGGCGGCTATGAATAATCTGTATTTTTTTGATTTTTGAAATATAAGGTTAACAAAATAGGTTTTGCTGATCCAAGCACGTCAAAACGTATTTTTTTTGGTTCACATGTAAGTGGCAGCAAATTGTATATGTTTTTTTATGATTGGTCTTACATGCATCCTTTTATTTTTTTAAAAGTGATTCATGAATCATACTAAATATTTTAGCAATTAAGGAGCAATATTTGTTGATTGGCCGGTGACTGTTTATTATATTGCATGTGTCGGCGGCTACAGTGGTACCGTAGGGCATCACCTGTTTTCGTAGTAATATCTTTTGGCAAAGTGAATGTTTAATTTAATTTAATTTTTTTTTTGCCACAATTAACTGCATGTGCTCATTCTTTTGGATTTTGGCCAATAATCAATTCTTTCAATTATTTGGTCATTGTCTTTGCAACACGACATTAACCTTTCTCATACGTGTATTATTTATGAGTATATAAATTGAGAGTTTGTGATCAATAAATAATGTTACAATTAAATGTTTTATTTATTTGAGATCATCGAGAAATTCTCAAAGTTTTATATATGTGAGATTATATCAATATATGAATTGAGAATTATGATAAATAAATAGGATTTACAAAAGTGGTCTATTTATTTGAGTCGCTAAAATATCCTCAATGTATCATGTATGGATTGTTCTTCATAAATGTATACTAGTAAAGGCTTGTTTACTCGAAAGGAGATTTACCTTTAGATACTAGTAACACTTAAATTAATTTATGAGAAGAGATATTAAAGATTTTCACCGGTTTAAAGGTAGAAATATAATATCTTGAATTCTCAAGTGTATTAATTGAGAGAACAATATGTTGTAAAAAGGTTAGTTGTGTGTTTTAGCCGTAAGACAGGACACAATGTATGCTTTATGCTCATGAGATAATTATTGAAAGAGAATGAAATTTTGAATCATGTTATTTTAATCTTTAACTATGCCTAAAATGGTTAATTTTCAAATTTGGTCATTGTTTGAAGGTTATGAATTTTTGTGATCTTTGATTGACTTGAAATTTGATGGTTCCATCGAAGATCATTTCGATGGATTTTAGATAGTTTGTCGGATTAAAATTTGATTTGAATATATGATAAGCTCATTCTTTATGTTAATTATGTTTATGTTAATTTTGGAACATGATCACACATGGTTATTTAACATTATTTATATGTGATAAGAATGCATGTCATATTGTTTTAATTCCTAAAGATACTTAAATTACTTGAATTTGAATTTGGTCATAGCTTTGAAAATAAAGATTCTTTATATGCTCCAATTGATCTGAAATTTGATAAGTTCATTGATAACGGCCTAGTAAGAAGTACTTATTGCTATGTGGTTATGTTTATTTGAGGTCGTTAAAATGATTTTAAGTTGTTCTTTGGAATTAAAATGTGATTTAATATGAATGACATCCTTTATATCGGTTTTATTCATGTTATATGTGGTATGATTACACGTGATGAGTTAACATGAATTGATATATGATAAGGATGTAGATCTGATTATTTTTTTCCTTCAATCGTTTCAATCTGAATTTGATCATAGCTTTAGAGATAAATATTAATTTTAAACTCTAATTGATCTGAAATTCGGTAGGTTCATCAGAAACAATCAAATTTAAAATACTCATTGTTATGTAGTGATTTGGTAATTTGAGGTCGTTTAGATGATGTTTTAGATAATTTTTGTTTCTTGAAAAATTAATTTTAC